GTCGTCTCCCCCACTTTAACTCAGAGTTTGACTTGCCTCTGTTACCACCTCCACTCCTGGCTTGATGGTAGAACACCATCATTCCATTCCACAAATAGCAGCACCACCTTGAACAGGCTGTTTAAAAAGAGTACAGGCTTTGACATTCATAGTTGATGAATGATAGTGTGAGAAATTATGTTTTACTCTCGAGTTTTCATTAATTCGGACTTTGTTGACAGGATTATGTGCCCCAACACTGCCTCAATGCCCTTGTTGAAGCTTTTCAACTTGCCAATGACAAAAAAAGACTGCTTCAGTTTATCAGAAAGAATCGATGAAAAAGCCCTTTTAAGTCAAACTGTACTCCTGACTATTTTAATGGAGCTGCTCTGTGGCCCACATTGAAACACTGTGGGTGTTACCGTCAACTTCCATAGTATGTGACAGCTCCTGGATAAATGAGAAAGCTCCTGGATGAATGAGAAGCAGAGTAGCTTAAAACCCCAACCAGCATAAAAAAAGGAGAAAAAGGTTAATAAATTCTGGAGGTGAAACAATTTCTTGAGTTAATCTTCTTCGAACATGCTGCCTGTAATGGAGCTTTGCGCTTTGAATTCAACCTTGTCCTCCATCTGGTTGCAGTGCTGGTGTGCTCTATGTGTGCATGTGTTTCTGTGAGGAAAGAAAAAAAAAACGTTCCTCGAAGGTACCTCCGCTAATTGTCTCATTTTTCAGATGTTTAGAGGGATAGACAGACACTTTCACATTGTTAAAGGCAGCTCATATACGGAGCGATCATGGAAAACTAAACTGGAAAGCTTGGCAACTCACTGAAGCTGTTTTTAAAATAATGCACTTGGTAGTGGAAATAACCCTGAGATTATCCTTACAGCATTAGCCCAAGGGCTGTCATCATTACTTAGACTGGGGGAAATAAGAAAGCGCTGACCTGCAGTTTCAGTCAGCCATGCTTTTCACATTAAAGTGTGTATCAGCCTGGAAAGCCTGCTCTTTCTAGGCGGTGTGTTCACAGACACTGCCCGGAGGGTCTCAGCACTAGCTCGGTGACACCTGCGGATGATATCTCTGTCCTCATTAGGAAGGGTCGGATATACAGAGAAGAGCTGAAGCTGCAGAAGTGTGAATGTGAGTGAATGTGTGCTAGTTAGCCTGCAGTGTGTTCTAGCCTGTGGAATGATGACATTATTGGAACATTTGTATCATTTGTAAGTGGACCTGAATTCATTTTCCAGGCAGTTCTCGTTCATTGTTCATTCGTTTACCTAATGAACTGAAACACAAATACTCATACCCCATGTTAACGTGAGCCAATTTTGACCTGTCCACAGCAATCGAGATGCTCTGAGCACTTCGGCATTTTCTTTTTCACACACACTCCCATCCAAACATATTTTTTGAGATTAACCCTTGTCCTGCAGTTCTACAATTTGTTTAGCAGACTCGTTAATCCAAAGCGATGTACATCAAGGAGTAAGTACAACACAGAGAGGAAGAAAACAGGCCTCAAACCGATGCTGTAGGATCCCTTGAAACCGGCAAAGTGTTCGAATTTTCTGACTCTGGATGAGAATTGAGGAACATAAGCTTATGCACAAAAAATGTGCTTATCACATGAATTAGAGTTGGAATATGTGTCCTTTAACATCTCATTGAGTTATCACTGGAGATGAAAAGACATATATCTGAACTTCAAAATAAAATAGTCAGAATTAAGACTCACTTTAGAGAAAACAGGCATTTTTTGTATTTCTATAAACGTCTTTAATCTAAAATCAAAAAATATTTCTAAATATTTAAAGATCGCAAAAGATATACTGGTGACTGTTGTTTAGATTATTTTCTGTATCATATTTTTCCATGATTTGGATCTTACGAGTATTAAAAAAAACCCTTTCATTAACAAACAATACTTTAACTGAGAATTAGGATAAGTCATGAAACTTTATCATCTCTTTTGTGACTTTTTTTGTCTCAACCTATTTTCCACAGAAACACTTTTGATTGAATTCACACATTCTGGCCTCAGTGTAAACCATTTCCTTTAAATACAAAAGCTAAAAATGCTTTGTCTAGTGTTTTCCCTTGTACAGCTGTGGCTCAGTCATTAGAGTCACCCGTCTTTCAAGGTCTGTGGTTCGATCCCCATCTCCAGCAGCTACATGTCCGATGTGTACCTGGGCAAGACACTTAAGTTGCTGCTCCGACGGCAGTGTATGAGTATAAGTTAATACTAGATGGACGCTTTACATAGCAACCCATGTCATCAGTTTGTGAATGTGTAGGTGTAAAAGTGCTTTGAGTTGTCAGAATACGAGAAAAGAGCTAAACAAGCTCAAGTCCATTTACTTTGTTGTATAATGTAAATATTCACATGTACAGTATATAATGTTCATTTTTCTTTATGTTTCTTGCATTTACCTCCAACTGTGTTTCTATTAGTCAGAACCTGGCAGCCAGTGCTTTCATAAGTAGTATTTAAAAGATTTATTCAAATGTAAAAATTGATCCTACATCCATGAATTGCTGTGTGTGATGTTGGTTTGGCAGGAACCATCAGTGAGGTAAGACAGACATGTATTAGATGACATATATCGCCCCTTGAGCTAGTCTCACATGAGTACTTCAGCTTTAACAGATATTAAACATGCCTCCAGCAGTGCTGAATATTTTTACTTCAGAGGTTACCCATCAGCGAACACACACATTGATTTAACGTCAGCTCTAGTGTGAGACGTAATGTGCACAATTAAAGGCATGTGTTTGTTTGAATGTGTGCTTATGTGTGGATGGAGAGTGTGAGCGTTTTGTGTTTTTGAACATGCTGCACGCGCAAACCTGGGTATGCATACTTCTCCCGCTCATGTTAGTGTGTTGATGAGTGGGTGTTTGTGTGCATGTGTGCGACTGCTCTGTCTGTGTGTTTCATGTGTATCCATGTGTTTTTGCCCACTCACAGCCTATCTTTATCCGTGCTGTGATACCGACAGTACAAAGCACAACTTTCTAGGAGGGTTCAGGCTGGGCCAGCAGAAACATGCTGAGAATTTAAGCCTTTGTGGGATTTCTGTCTGATCAAACATGCTGTGTAGTACTCTCAAAAAGAATAGTCTCTGTTTCTTTTTTGTCTTTTTTTTTTTTTTTGCTGAAGCTGCTCCTGTGTTGTAGTCCGCTGGGGGAGCGTTTCAGCATCCTGTGGTGTACAGCCTCGGGGAGGGATTGGACCTCCTGGGCTATTACAGCACATCCTCTTTCACACGCTTGCTAGCCAAGCCGTGCGCTCACTCCCTCAACACACTAGAAAATGTACATGGAACTACGCCGTCACACTCTGCTGCTTTGTTTTTGTTCCTTTCCCTCCGGTGTGCAGCTTGATTTTTACATTTGCTGCTCACTCCGTTAACCTCTCCTCTAAACACGTGTTCTCGCCTTGGTGCTCTCAAAACATTTGACAACGACAGAGAAATTGTCGGGCATTCATTCTGCAGATTTCCCCTCCTTCTAAGTAGTCACAGTCCCCATAGGGGAAAACTGAAGAAGTGAGGTTTTAAGAGATGATAGAATTCAATTCAGTGACATGTACCTACCATCTATTAGAGCTTGTTCAACTTTACATCTACGGTACATTTCTATTGGGATGGTAAGTGTGAGCGTCTGGGCACTGATAGATAAAGAATGAGAGATAGTGTACACATTGTAAATGTACACTTATTGCTGCTACAAGCATACCATTATTGGGTATAACTTTTAAGTCCTGTACTTTGAAGATTATAAAGCAGTTATTTAAGAAAAAGCACTTAAAGTCAAGCTTAAATTTAACATCATGATTTTATGTGACTAAATTGGACCCTGTAGAGTTCCCTGTTCCATTGCTCTGGTGTTGTAACAGATAGTGCAGTAATAACTTTGAGGACTTTTAAAGCTTTTGGTATAAATGTAAGATTTGTGGTAAGGAAGAAGCCTGGGGAGAGTGATGTGACCCTGTGGAGTCAGAGAAAAAAATAAAGCACTGTGGAGTGTTCAACACATTTCTAACTTGCCAAAAGCAGGAGCTTGGTAAGTGGCCTTAGCTTTAGAATATGAGGAGCCAGCCTGTTTTCACTCCCAAGTTGTCAGTTACACACATTTTATCTCGCTTTTATCTTATGAGACACACTCAGGTTTCAACTGTCTCCAATGTAACCTGCAATGCTTAGAGAAGCTGTTTGGGGAAATAATTACCTCTGGATTGACATTGTGAAAAAGTCTCATGCTGTGCTGAGGCACTAAAAGGACTTGATAAGTCATGAGGAATGCATATAGTTAAGGTTTAAAAAAGTACTTCTTAGGTCAACTTCTTATATTAATTAAACATTGACAACTTTCAGTGGAATCAAAACCACTGACCTGAGACTGCCATGTGTCACATGACCTCATCCTGACTGCAAATCAAAGAAGGATACTGTGTTTTGACGATACAATACTGTAAATCATGTCTCTGATAGTATTTTAAATGACCAAACCCAAAACACACCAGATCAACAGTCAGAATTTGACCCCAAACTAATGCAGGCCAAAGAGAGAGAGAGAGAGAGCAGCTGTAGTTGAGTGACAAAACGAGGAAGTTCAGAGAAAAAGGGCCACTAATGAAAACAAAGCTAATAAACAGGGAAATAAGATTTTATGTTGTGATTGTTTCATAGAGGTCATACTTAAACACACTGAGTATTTTGCAATAACAAGCAGGAAGGAGCTGGATTTTGTTCTTCCATGTAACACAGTGTAAAATTCTGGGATTGATGAAACCAGAAACTACAACATTCCAGTAGTTACAGGAGAGGGACACTTTTTAAATGTTGGGCCACAGAATACTATGTTTGCCTAGTTTGATCTAGAACGTGTTGGCCACACTATGATATAGCTGTGAAATGATGAATGGAAAAAGTCTGTTTCTTTGTCCTCTCAGCAATGTATATGATACTCACTGTGTAAACTGTTCTCCTTAACACTCCATGGTCTACGTGGTTTGAGCGCGTGAGCATCATGGTGATCCTGTTGAACTGTGTGACCCTGGGAATGTACCAGCCCTGTGAGAACATCGACTGCTCCTCAGACCGATGTCAAATACTACAGGTATACACACACACACACACTCACACACACACATGCACTTTTTATTGATCATGATTTTGCTTTTTTTCACTAGCTGCCTCTAAATTAATCCTATACTGACCATGTTTCTGGCTGAAGTACAGCATGCCAACATTATCATTATGCCCATAATAACTTTAGCATTTAAATGAAAATATTATATCACTGGAACCAAGTGAAGCCAAAGGGGACTATTGTCGATCTGCTTCTTTTTCCTCTCTGCATTTTTCAGACTTGTGTGATTGTCCCTTCTTTTCAAGGTGCAAATAAGAGATGACAAAAGAAAAGACAAGTAGGAATTGAGAAATCAAACGTTTTGGGAAATGAGGCGTCCTGCCCTCAGTAGCGATATCTCAATTACTGATGACAGTTTTCACAGCTGGATCACCTCTTCAAAGGCTTGAATCTGTTCCGTGCAATTTTATTCCACTCGAGGTCTTTTCTATGAAACTAATGTGATCTATGTCTCGACCAATGACTGATTGATTTATTGTTTTTTTGGCAGCTGAAATAACAGTGTGGAAACGTGTATTTTCCTTTATCAACACTTCCTACAAACTGTGGAACTTAACTTTCATGTGTCATGCACTTTAGCTTTATTACTATGTAGCTTCACAGAGCTGCTAGCGTGACTGAAGGGTCTTGTTTGCCTCTTTTGTTAACGATTGCTTTCATACATGTTCTGTCTATGGTTTACTAAGTTACACAGGATCATGTATATTTGATCTGGACCCTACATAAATAGAGCCATATTGTGGAGAATCACTTCCAGACATGGGCGAACAAATCTGGACAAATGTACACTTCAACTTAGCCATACATATTTCATATATACAGCTCCCTCTAAAGCAGCCAACTTGAGTCACACAATCATGCGAGACAGCTTTGTATGACACCATGTGTAGGAAACGACACACTTGAATACACAACTGCAATGCATGGTTACACAAACAGAACCTTCCTAGAAGAGGGGAGCAAAGAGTGTGCTTTAAATGCACTATTCCTAGATATACATGTTAACACTTAAAAAAGCCTCTATTTCACATGCGCACACACTCACACACACACACACAAACCCTCCCCCTGAATTTTTCACTGTCTCGCCCTCCCATGCTGGGGCCTGTACACTCTTGCAGTGACTCACTGCTAGCATGTGGTCTTTATGATGCAGCAGCCATGACTTTCTCACATAAGCACCTCGGCAGTTTTCTCCGTCATCTTGCAAAAGGCACAGAGTCCCTCCTCACTCATGCCAAAGGTGGACCTAGTGGGTGTTGCATCTGTGCATGAGCGTGTGCTCGTATGGCTCCGGTCTGTTAGGGTGAAGCGCTTGTTAAATCACCTCTGAAACATGTTTTTTTGCACATTCTCACACGAACACACACAAGGCAGCGCACTCAACATGTAACGGGCAGCACACACAGTAGATTGATTCGGGTCCCAGGGGGAGGTGGCTGGTGAGTTGGACTTAATAGAATTTCTCCTCCAAGTATCTATAGACCCTATTCAATATAGGCATGGATTTGGAGGGCTACAGCGCCACAGTCAATACAGTCCTCTTAGAAAATCCGTTGTTCAATATCATGATTTCAATGGTGCCTCACCAGCACAATCTATAAGCTCCGACAACTGTGGACTTACAAAAAATCCTTTGGAAGCCTGGCTGATTATTTAGTCAGCAAGTCTTCAAGATGTTTGAGTAGATCAAATTGGAAAAGATGCTTTGAATGATTTTCTGTTCTTTTTTTTTTTTACTTTATTAAGACAACAAACGCAAAACAACATCGCAAGTTGTAGTCAATAGATTAAAAAAGCAAAACATATATCACAAAACCAGCCGTTCAAAAGTAGGTAGTGGGTCATAAAGGTTTACGTTTGTTTTCCGTTTAGGTGGGGACTCAAATACTTTTGGGATGGGGCTGTATTTGATGTATTTTTATGCACCTATTTGTTTTGATAATGTCTTTATTCTTGTAAAGGAAAACACAAAAACAACTAGTTATTTTATTTTTAAGCAGTTTGAAATTGATATAGATATCACTTTATGAGCTACAGAAGAAAAAAGCCCATGAGCATAAGAACGGATTATCACTGTATAATTGTTTTAAAGGTGTCAGCCGAGGGGATTGACAGTGTGCTGCAGACACACTCTTTTATTCCACTGATAAGACTGACAGCCAGGGATACATTTGAATGTAAGGAAGTAGGGTAATAGTTATAACACACTACTTACACAGTACTGGATAAAATCAGCCCAACCGGAACGTTCCTCTCAGGAACTATAAATAATAAATCAGGCTTGTGTTTCCCACGTGAATTTTCACATTTGAAACTAGTGCTGGAGATGACGTGGTTACATTGCACACGCATCTTTATTCATAGAAACTAAAATAAAATAGACCATATTCTCAGGGCGGCCATGTTGCTGAAGTCATGCTCAGGGTGGGAAGCCCTAATGATGTTATTGTGTCTTACTGTTATGCTTCAGGTTTAAGTCGTGTTTTTCTCGCAACCGTTTCATATCAAATCTTCCCTACTGATGAGAAAGTACACAGACAATGGACACAAAAAAGGGGGAGACACAACAGTCCATATCATCAGTTAAAATACATATTTAATAACCCATTAGCTGCCGCTAACCTTAGCATTCAACCACTTCCTTGTTAACGTGTATGTTTTAGAATCACTGATACGATATGAAAGACGTTTATTCTTTCGAGACATATAGATAACATAGATAATTATTCAGAGACACTGATTTGAGCCTGAGGTAAGATTGTTTTGGATCTATTACATGTGTTAACAATAAAACATTTAAATAATTTGACTTAATAAGTAAATGTACTTTTATCACCCAATTTATTAGATAAATGAACAAAACATGTAGATTGACTTAAACATGTAGGTTTACTTATAATCATGAAATGGTCATGTATATATACACATGTTTTATTTCACCCAAATCTCACTTCAATGTTGGTAATGATGATCAAAAGACTAAAGAAAACAAAGAACCTGGGTGTTTGGTAGTCAACTGGTTATGAATCTCAGAGTGACAAGACATACATCATACAGTATCAAAGATATCCAAAATATTCAAATGGCCCAGGACAGACAAGAAAACAGCATCAAAACTAAGAGGAAAAACAGAATCTCTACCAAAAAGAAACTCATTTTGGTACAATTTATTTTGATGAAATTACTGTAAATTTTTTTAAAAGGTTCTCATAAAAACATTATGCCTAGATATTGTCTTTTTGTTGGTAAGAGCATGACCTTGGTTTTGTCCATGTTAAATCCAAGTCTCAAATGAGAAAGTTCGGACTGAATAGTGTGAAAGATAGACAGCAAATGTTAAAATGCAGGGGCAACATGGTTTGGATGACAACAATGGTGTCATTTGCGAAAAGATATTCTGAAGCATTCAATTCAAACCCTCTAAAGACCTGATTTTTTCACTTTTTAAATCTTAAATGTGTTCATGCAACAAAAACTGTATTTTGCACCTCAAGATGCTCCAAGCATCAATGTGTAAGAGCTTCCCGTTTCAAATGCCTTTTGACTCTGTAAGAAAAACAGTTTCAAGACAAAACAGAAAATTAATTTGCATTTGACTTCCTTCTAGCGATAGCATGACCTGAATGGCTGACGATCTTCACAGAGATCACATGTTGCTATGTGGGGAGAGAGCAGTATTTTCATCCCACTGAGAAGAGAGTGTAAAAGAATCAATAATAAGCCCTCAGAAATAGAGCTGCATGCAAATATTGTCCTTCAACACACACTATGAGAACGAATGAGTGCTTAAGCTTGGACACATACTGTATGTTTCAAAGGTGAAATACTTGTGTCCTAAAGTTTATTTAAACTGGAACATTCTTTGACGTGATCACTCGCTGAATTTGATCAAAAAATGCTTACAAAGTGTGAAAGCGTTGTAGCCTCCAGAGCTGAATCATTTCCTACAATTTAGATTTTTGCTTTGCGTTTCTCTATCAAATGGCACGAGTGTCATTTGCAATTTAGGGCATCTAACAGCTCACATATTTGCATTTCTGTCCATCCTCTTCTAAATCATCCCTTAAAGAGCAACTTGCAGGTTATTTTTTTTTAACATTAATACCAATCCTTGTCTGATAATGGCTTTTGAATCTTAATCCTTGATTTTGTACAACACGAAAGGGCAAACATTTTGGGAAACGTTTTTCCAAACATGGCATCATATTATGTCATAAAGGGGAGTCATGTTCTCTGACTCTGGCTTAGCTCAATGTGAAGAAGTAGTTCTGTAGAGTTGAGCGGCCATGTCGCATTATGTTTACAATTTCAGTAGTCATACATTGCAGTAGCTTGACAGGACATTAATTCAACTGTTTCTGTAACTGTGAAGACCAAAAAACCTCTGGAGATAAGATTAACGAGCACGACAATACACTCAGTCTCAAGGTAAAGAAAAACAGTCTTTAATTGCAAAAATAGAGAAGCAAGAACAGGCAGACAAATCCAAAGGGATCAGGCAGGATCAAAACCAAAAAAAACAGCTGAAATAAAAAACGAACTGGCACTGAAGGGAGGGAAGACACAGGCTAAATACTAAAGTGAGCGTGGGACAATGATACGCAGCTGGAGACAATCAGGGAGGGGGTAGACAATCACACAAGCGGGAAACACACGAGGACAGCAAGTGAAAGATCTGAAACGAGAGTAGAGATAAGATACAAAAAAAATAAAAAGGAAAAATTTGAACATAACTTAAGATGCAGAGCTGGACGTGACACTAACGGGAAAAGGAACAGAGCTAGCTCCTTTACCTGTACTGTTTTCATGAACTCTGCTTCCAAATGTTTGGCTTGTTACATAATTTAATTCTACAATTCATTTAGAAGACGCTTTTATCCAAAGCGACGTACATCAGAGAGAAAGAACAACACAAGCAGGGAGCAAGGATCGTGCAAATGAACAGCTTTTAGTCCAATAATGTAATATTTATCAAAAACTCTTCCTTGAAAACTTTAGAGAACTCGTGGATTCTGAAGTGGCCCTAATGGACCCTGACACACCCTGCTCAGGATTCAAAGTAGTCATATTTTCATAAAAAGAAGGACAAACTAGAAAACAGTATGTAGCTCATTTTATGCCCTTGTTGCACATAATCATACCACTGTAATTTGGAAGGCTACTAAATTAGCTAACATTAATTTGCCTGATAAAATATGATGCAGAAAATAGTAAACAATTGTTTAACATCATTAGGTTGGCCTTGTTTTTTTGAGCATGCAGACATGTTGACGTAGACATGCACACTCCTTGAGGAGTCATTTATCTGCAGACATGATACGGGGTTTTGGTAGACGGCTTTTAAGGAATTATATAATTTCCCTTCAGTACCGGCATTTAGAAATGTAACATTGAGAAGCTGATTACGTTTATATTTATATGCATAATTAATATCAGCTCTTTTCTTTGGAAAGCCTTTCATCTGCCAAACCAAATGTTTCTAGATAACAGAACAATCACTCATTAAGAATACTGGACTAAGGTTTATACACACAGCTGTAGAGACTCATCCCCCATTTCAAGGGGACTCTAGGGTCTTTCTTCTGGGACTTGGGAATTGGTTTCATTATTGATTCATGTGAAACAGAGGGAACTGAGCTGTACTAAAAACAAATAGAGAAAGTAATACATACATTTGGAAATGAACAGGGTAGGATCAATAGTTAATTAGGCAAATTATCCAGTTGCTTTCCTTAATTTAAGTCCTTCTATTACCCTTTTTACTTTCTCCCCAGTGATATGAGAATGTAAGCACTGGTTAAAGGGATAATAATCTTGCTGCATGTAATCCTCCATATTATTTTATAGAGATGAATGTGGCAGAATACAAACTGATGGAAGAGACTTGTCAATCAAGTATGAAGAAGGAGAGATGGATAATTACAGAACAAAAAAACTGAAGAGACAAGAAGACAGACAGACAGATTGAGATGTGTGAGAGAGTTGTGAAAATGTCACAGAATGAAAATTTCTTGGGTCAGCGAGCTTCACAAGAGATAAGTCTCGGCCATCTTTTCACTTTGCCAAAGGTCAAGGTTGCACCGTTTGCCCGTTCTTCCACATTAGTAGGCCAGGCTGGCACCTCTTCACTCCTCCAGGACTGCTGAGTGGAATCCTTCCTTTCAGCAGTCAGCTTGTGACAACACAAAGAATTATGTTGATGATTCAGATTCAGATCATGTTGCCTACAGTACTTCCATCTGAAAATCAAATTACAGGCAAAGCCAAGCTCGTCAGTTAATCTCTAATCCCCCTGTATACACAGAAAAGAACACCAGCTAATCTAGGCTTTTTGCTCTCAACAGCAATAACACGCATTAGCAAGTTGAGATCTTTGATTTATTTGGATTTTTTCTCTCTCTCTCTCTCTCTCTCTTCTTTTAATTAGATGCTTGATGAAAGCTGTGCATGAAGAGGGTGTCGACGTGGGGTTTATGTTTGAATACTGCTCAAACAAATTATTTCCCATTACACAGCGTTTAGGGAAAACCGATCAACTGTGGAGTGGGGGATGGGTGGGTAAAGATGGAGGGGAAAATGAAGGGTTAATGGAGACAATAAAATAGGGAGATGAGGGTATTAAATCATCAGGGAGTGAGAGGAGGAAAAGGATAAATAAACTGCTGTAGGAGGAGAGATGGGGATAAAGAGATTGGCAGGGAGGGTTGGAAGGAAAACTGAGAGACTCCCAGGAGAGTGGTGGGAAAGAAGAGAAAAGTGGTGGTTAGTGAAAACTGGCTTAGTTAAGAATCCTACAGCTGTACATGATCATATTTTACATTCACTTACTTTTGATTTGTGTTCAAATACACTGCAAGGGGATCACCCACCTCATCCTCAAGGAGACCGTTGGGTTGATCTCTAAAAAAAAAGTAATCAGCTACATAACTTTTCTACTGAATGGTCTTTAAAACTGTCAGAGCATAACAATGCATGATAGTGTTCCAGAGCCCCAGGCAGTAACTTCTGACTGATTTTAAAAGCCCACCATCAGTCCTAAACAAAAAAAAAGTAATTTTTTGTGTCATATATGATTTCATCTGAATTGTGCCTATCCACAGTATATTCCTGTTGGCTGAGTCTATGTGTCTTTTGGCTGTATTTTTTAAGCTACAATTGGCTAAATCTGTATTTTACTGATTGGATCTCAGTTGTCGGTTCATTAGCAAAATATGTTTTTTCCCTGTCTTCATCCAACCTCTTTTAAGCCTTGTTTGTAAGCAACAGTTTACTTTTTCTAGTCAACTATTACTTGAAGCAGGTAGGTTAACAAAAGCAAAAATGTTCTGTTTCCTGTAGCATAGAGCCAGTAAGCTAAATTCACTCTGAGATGTCCATCTGGTACATTTTTTGTCACTAACCCTAATGGTGATGAATACATGATTGTTTGTGGTGTCCACAGCACAGAATAATGACGTTCTCCTTCTTTCACATCCCTCACACGCTGTCTCTTTGTCCCCTTTTGTCTTTCTGTCAGGCTTTTGATGCATTCATCTACATCTTCTTTGCTCTTGAGATGGTTATAAAGATGGTTGCTCTGGGAATCTTTGGTCGACGCTGTTACCTCGGGGACACTTGGAACCGGCTGGATTTCTTCATTGTCATGGCAGGGTGAGTACCTCTTCATCGTATCCCTTTGTACAGTTTGTCAGCGGACACATGCGAGTGTCACCAAACAATAACACAAAAGTTTATCTAATTGAGATTGCCTAATCACTGCCATGTCATTAAATAAATGGGCTGAAATTAACCTGCCATTGCACATGGTCGTTATGTTGCTGCTGACCTCAGCAATATGAGCTGAAACCTTGGCAAGATAAAACCACTTTAAGTGAATGACTTCCCAATCAAGTAACTGCACTTGTTTTAATTCACTACTTTGTATGAAGTACAATTTATGAGGTTTTCAAAATCTATTTGGCATAGGAGTATGACTTTCATATACAATAACTACTGTTATAGGCCACAACCCTAAAAAATGCTTTCATGACCTCACTTTCCTTCTTTACATTTTCTATTAATCATCATGATCTTTGCTGTGTGATTAAATGCATTAATCTCATACATGGAGACTGTGCAGTTTCTATCTCCCTCTCCTGTTTAGATTATTTTATATCCACCTGTTGCTGTCTTTTTTGATGGCAGTCCTTGCTTTCACTGTTTGCAGTTTCCTCTGAATTTCTTCTGGAGTGTTGCTTCGCTGGTAGAGAAATTAGGAGATTGAACCTTAAGTTTTTCTGCGATTTCAGATCTTTGTCTCCTCAGGGTTGAAGCATTTTCAAAAAAACATGTTCCGTCATGTCAGTGACCCACCAAACACCATGATTGACCTTGTTACAGAGGAATAATAATTCATATCTATCAACACCACAGGTGTGTACGTATGAAGTTAATCCAAGAAATCAAGTCATCATTTTGAAATCATGTTTTCATCAAATAGACCAATCATAGACTGCATCCAAACAACCTCCTTTCCAACCACTCCCACCTCAGTTGTTCAACCATAACATACACCCGGTCGTGTCTTAAGGGGACTGGGACATTTTCTGACTTCAAACAATTTGTCCATGTGTTTGTCCATTCCCGTGTCCATAATGGGGAAATGATATTGTCAATGTTAAAGACACTTATTTAGGAAACTCGCAAAGGTATGAACTTAAGAACAATGTGGTTGTGTTAACTAATTTACTACTGGATTACACATTAACTCCACCTCTGATAAGAAACTTAGAATGCCAATGCTAAATCGTTTCTCGAACAAATCTGCTTGGAAAAATCCCAAATTACAGTTGAACCATGTGACAGCATAGAAGCATACAGTATCTCCTTTTATCTTCAACTTTTTTTTTTTTTACCCTCACAGCACACTCTGCAATAACACAGGAGCTCCTGATTGGCACATCAAAGCAGAATATGCAATGACAATAAATATTTAGTACTAATAACGAATTGTCTTTTATATTATGTAAAATAAAATATCAACATTTTACTGTAACTTGCATTCTTCTTCGTTATGCCCAGAGGTTCTGCTTGTCAACAGACAAGGCTGGCAACTGCTTGAGGCCGCAGACCAGTAAGGGGCCCCCCGAGGGCTGACAAACCTTTAAACACACAGCAGTGGTTAAAGATGTGCAATGACATTAGGGGACCTCTCGAAGGTGACCCCAAAAGTCAAAAGTTTGAAAATGAAAGTCACTGAAGGTAAATGAAAATGAAAAAAATCAGTCTGGGAATGAAATAAAAAGGAAAGGAGGAAAAAAGAAAGAAAGGCATAGGTAAGTGGAGCATATAATGACAAATATAAAAGTAAATGACTGAATGCTGCCCGGCTGGTCCTAACGATGGAGGAGAAACACTTGATTAACACAACCTCTGCTAGCTTCAAATAATAGTGTTTGTTCTCTGACCTTTAACATTAGTTTACTGAGCTTTCAGAGCAGCTTAGATTGTCTTTTTAAAATAATATAACATACAGTATATAACACATTATAACATAATGGTGATGAACGCTGGTTTGAGGAGCCCCCCTGGCAATTGTTGCCTGGGAATCCCAACAGTCTCTAGAATCATCACTGGTTCTGCCTTCTCATTTCCAACCATCTCATCCTCTTCCTCTCCATATTTTCAACCAATGGGAAGGTGATATTTTTCATTCACTTTTTACTGGCCTAGCTTTCTTGATTTTCCGTACATTTTTAAAGTCACCAGTGCACTGTTCCAGCTTTTTACCAGAGAAGCTAGTTCTTCCACCATCTTGCATTTTTTTATCTGGTCTGTTTCCTCCACTCTGATCTCACAGTCACAACTTGTCTTGAATGTCTTTCCTTGCCCTCTATCCTCTCATCCTTCACTCACCAGCCTTAGACCAGCAACCATAGAGATGTGTCGGGTTGTCCCTCTGCGCCATGATCCATTGGCTCTGTGCAGACGTGGCAGAAGGACGCCTCCGCCACCAGCAATTATTCTCCAGTGTTACGTCCATCACATGCAGAGTGTATGACTACAAGGAGGGGTGGTGTTAGCTTTTGGGGGGATGTGATAAAAAACTGCACCCCTGGGAACTAGTGTGCTGCAAACACAGACAGTAGGCGCTCTGCAGGGAAGGGATTAGGAGCAGCATGAGTTCCACACCAGGCTCTTCTTAGCCTGCTTGCTCCAGACCTCTGCACACAGGCAGATTGTATGGCAGGGTGTGTTGTTTGTGCAGTTTGAGAAGCAGGTGTCCTACATCAAACAAAAAAGTTTGGGTTTTGGGTTAATTCTCCCTCAAGGCACAATCCCCCGCTGACTGCCTCATTGTCTGCTATTTTAATTCTGACAAACAAAACTCTGACTAAAAGCCTCTCGTGGTTTTCTCATGCTTTATAAATCAGATATATTTTTGTATTCATTAATAAGCTGGATAGTTTCCATGTCAACATCAAGCAACTCATTCTCAGGGTCGAGTAAAGCTTTTAAATGGAATCTCAAAATGGGCCTGGGCTTTTTTTCTTTTTTCATGTCTTCTTCTAATGCATTTGAAATTAGTGATTTTTTGAACACTCAAAACAGCTACATCTACGTGTTTTCATAAAATAGATATAAAGCTTTAACCAAATGTGCTCTGATAACTTACGTGTTTAAATGCAGCCTATTTTGCACTTTAAGGCTGACATTCCTAAAAACTTAAGACAAAACACATTTTCTGAAAGAGTCACGTGAATTATCTTATAGTGAATATAAATCATGTTTCTAGCATCCCCCATTACCTCATTCAAGCTTCATTTGAATGCATGTCTGTATTCGCAGGTAATTTTTCATTTCAAATTAATTAAATTATTAAAATAATTAGAACTCTTAGAGTAATGCTCAAATCTTGCCCATTAATATTTACCATCCATTTAATACACAGGGATTGGCACTGCAACTACCAGCATGAGGTTGTTTTAAATTCTGACGGTGAAATGGAACGCATGCACCACTTCTCTCATGTCCACTGTAGCTTGTTACGTTGATGACAGTGCAATCATTGCTGCGGTGTCCCGGAGAGAGGCTGCGTTTGTTGCCTGCAATGAAGCCGAAGCATATATTCAAAAAGTATTTTTAAACTTAAAATTATTTACATTGACAGCCCTACAGAGAACAACGTGCTTCTTCACTCCGCATTATACATAGAACAATTTAAAAATAAATAAGTAATGTTAATTGACCATTCTATACAATGGTTTACATACACGTTATTTCTTGGTTTTGTTTCTCTCTTCATGTGTCATTATGGTGTCAAGGATACACATCCTAGAAATAATGTTACACACACAAAAGGCTGCATGCAACACAAAGAAGAGAGCCTCTTCAAAGTAACACCTTTATGTGCAAGCCCTTTCACATTGTGTAAAAAAGAATTTGGTATGACGCCAATTATCTACCGGGTAAGGTAGACAAGCTGTTGATGAATCAATGTGTCTGTTTATTCACAACTAATTCAAATGTATTCCACCTCAACACACTTTTTACTCACAGTACATTATACGCACACTGCATTAACCAGTTACACAAACAAAGCTATGGTTGGTCTTTTTCTTGTTCATAAAGAATTGGGTATATACTGTACACGTCCTCATTTACACTTGAGCGTTTCTTTCTATGAGATCTCTTCAGAGGAGACAAAGATGGTAGTTCCTCTCTGCACAACAAAACCAGCACCATAGGAGATGTGTCTCTTCGTATTCAGACCCTCTGTGTGCTGATAATGTATACAGATGCTCTTGGCTCGTAGTCGCAGTAATAGCATTACTTCCAATGAGTGACGCTGATCCTGATTTGTTGGAGCGCTGCGGCACTGTGCTGCCTGCAGCCGAGTGACGGGAGTGATGGAAAGAAAATAAAAAGGATGGTGAAGCAAGAGGAGGCATTAGAGTGTGAGATGTTTGTTTTCTTGTGCCTTTAGTCTTATACGATTGGCACCTGCCATTGCTCAGCATTAAGACTATTGCCTTGCTTGCACAAGTATAGATTGGAGGTTTAATTTAGGATGTTAAACTGCATAGGAGGCAAAGTAGATTTTGGCTTTGATCATTTCTGTGCGGATAGAGCACGAACCAGTTCTAAGAATCACAGTCAACTGACAGGCATGAATGAAATATAATTGTTAAAATACATAGCATTTAAACGTATGAATTAATTGTAATGGGTTAACAGTAACAACAACACAAACTAGATCAAAGATGAGAGGCCAATTTTAAGGATCCTGGTAACCAAAAATATCTGCATGTTGCTCTATTTACTCCTCGAGCAGATACACCTGAGCCCCATCACCACTCCATCAGACAGATTTTAAAATGACCCTGTCTTAAGAAGCCTATTATCCAAAATGGGGCAGGATTGTGTGATGATTATACAAGATTGGGGTATTTTTGTAAGCTAGAAGCTAGCTGCCTCTGACTTTGAAGCACATTGAGGCGATACCTGTCATATGAAATGTGCTTTATAAATAAACTTCACTTACTAGCGTAGCACCATAGACTTTATAGAAGAAGTGGGCATCGTCAAGGTGACGCCAACCTGTTCGTTATTGAGGCCAACCTTTTGAAGCCTCAATATTGGCATTTTCCACCTCCAGCGTGTTTATTGCG